TTGACCATCACATATTCAGGAAACACACAGCAACTTCAGCCTTCAGAAACAGGACACCTACATATGCATATAGCAAAGCAATGAAGAACACAACAGATGGTTTCTTGGTGTTGTTTTCATATACTTTAGATGTTTAGACTTTTCCTTATCATGTGGAAGCAGGTACATGAAAAGGCTGATTATAAACTAATACTCTATTAGCCTGCAGTAGGTTGCTCTAGTGTATGTGATAAAGAGAAAGGAGCTAAGGGCAACACTCTGAGAAGAAAGTTCTCAATGTCCTTTCAATATCTGAGTTTAAAGACATGGCGAGATTGGTGTGTCTAGTTGTTTGGGTTTTCTTAATTAAACTAGTCGATCCCCAGCTCCTTCTCTCCCTTGATCACCCCAGTTTATTAATATTCAAGAATTCGGTGAAAGACATACTGAAGGTAAATGTTAAAAAATACTAACATACTCTCCATGCCTTTCAACTGCTGGAAGCAAAATTCCATCAATTTCATTAGCATTTCCCTTTGATTCTTTTCCTCCCTCAATTATTTCAATTATCTTTTAGTGAGTTGCAGAAAGAGGGAGAAAGGTATTGCCATGTTAGAAGTTAGGCAGAGTCTATGCAGAGAAGTGGAGAGTTTTACTATAGCAGAAGTGCAATGAAGTATGAAAAGCAGCATTTTCCTCAGCTTTCATACAGCCTTACTCTCCCTTTCACCAAACTGGAAGGAAAAAAACCAATTAAGGAATTTACAAGAACCAGAAACAAAGTGTGGAAAGCAACAGTTTTGGTTCCAAATGCAAAGCAGGAAGTCTACGTTCTAATACAGAAAAAAACCTCAGCGTTATTTTGGTGCCAAATGAGAAACTCTATTTCAAGAAGTCTGATGAGTAACAACAAAAGAAGAACCTTGTTTTCAGTCAGAGATTTTGAAGGGTGTTTTCCATTTGCTTGGCTTGCCTCCAACCATTTTAAGAGGCAAAGCTCTCCTAAAATACCCTCAAAAAATTATGAAGTAAACACATTCAAATTCTTCGTCATGCATCAAATTCAGACTTCAATTATATCATCATCACACACAATGAAAACAGCTCGCAAGTACAGATAGCAGCTCTCTGCCACATGCTTTTTTCAGGTTGTCCAGGACTAGGATGTGCATCCTGCATCCTGATATTAAAGGGAAAGCATATGACACTTTCATACACTGAGAACTACTCATCTTCCACAATAGTATAGCTATGAATTACTTAATAATCCATAAACTGTATAACCCAGAAGCCTTGAATTTTATTTTATCCTGTTTTTTAAAAAGAACCTCTTGCACATTTATGGCATGTTATTAGCATATAAAAGAACATATATTCCACTTATTTACTTTAAGACAAACTCAACATCATATATTTACCTAAAAATTATACAAGTTGGCAGGCTAAAAGTACTATTTGTTGCACTGCACATTCTGTTTTCTCAGGCTATCAAACCCCAAAACTCCTCCAAGAAAGCTGGCTGAGAGGAAAAGACCAGAGCACACATCTTCCTGTTAGCCAGCAGGAAACCCAGCCAGGAGACAGAAATTTGAAGCCCATCTTCAAGCCTTCTACTGCACAAAGCAGTTCACACTGAACACAGTAAAGTCTTTATACATCAGTGACCACAGCTCAGAAGTGAAAATACATCCACTTTGATAACACAAACTGAAGGCACCCACAGAAATATCCACAACCTGCAGAGGACTGTTATCTACTAATTTTGCTTTTTAAAGTTCCTCTTGTAGTTTCCTACAGTTTTAAAAGACACAAACTGAAAAATAACAACCAAAAAACCAACCACTCCCACTCCATCGCACCCCCAAAAAACTCCCACCCTACTAAACTGATTCTGGCCCCCACCAAAAGGGTTATTTATGGGAATGTTTCTGGATTTTTAGTGTTACCCAAGCCCAAACTCAGAACAAATGGAGGCACATTACAAACAATGAAAAGCACTTACCAAAAGCCCTGTGAAGCAAGTTGTTTAAATTGAAAATAACTTCTTAAATATTTGAGAAGAAATTAGGAAAATAAATAATTGGTGTTTAACATTTGAAATAAAGTGTACTCTAAGATAAAGACAGAAACATACAACTGCAGTGAAAAGTTATGTGCAATACTGCAAGAAGAAATGAAAATAAAAGCTTTGTCTAGAAGACAGGTTTGACAGTAAACATTAGATCATAGCTCAGATGCCTTAACTAGGTTTTTTCCTCTTTCTGAACAACCTTTGATTAAATATTATTCAATAAACTGTTCTATTACTAAAACACATTTTCAGTAGACCCTTAAAACTTCCTGTTAACTATTCTTTCAAATAAAAAGCAAAGACAACACACTGCAAAGAACAGCATGAAAATAACTACATTTAGCAACAAAATAATACCAACTTTACCCTGCAGTAGAAAGCTGCAGGGCAGGGAAAGTAAACAGCTCTTGAAAAACCACTGCTAAAGTCATATTAAGCCAGAACTACATCCATATGTGGTGTTTGTTGAATTACAAGGAGTAGTAACACCTGTGGCTGAGAGCTTGTTGGGCTGTTGCAGGCCTCATATGGATATTATTTTTTCAGTGTGTGTGATTTGCTTTGTCCTCTTTTCTTTTGAGCTATGGAAGTAGGAGTGTTGTGTCTATGTGGGTGTTTTTATGGGTGCATGGTTAGTTAAGTGTTCCCAAAAACCTGATCCTGTCACTGGCAGTCAGTGTTCCAGCAGAGGGAAAACTGCTGGCACAAGATGTGGCAAGACAAACAGGAACTTCAAAGGATCTTTATAGTTATATCATACAAGTCTTCCAGCAACTGAAGGTCACAAATATAGTCTTTATCCACAATGGTTTATTTTTGCTGTCCTTTAGTCTATTAAAATAAAGATTAATTCATGTTATGAGTAAAAAAGAAACTGATGGTAACGTAGTAATCGCTGAGGGCGTACAGTGTGATTTAAATAGCTAGAGGGTGAAAGTTAGAGGAAGCACAACACACGTAGGTCTGCTCTTCTGCTTTCTCCCCTTTCAATTAGCAGTTCCTTGCCTTAGGCCTGCTCTCCTCTTTTGCTAGTACTCAGGATACATGTTGCTTCCCTTTCATACCTTCTGAGTAAATAGGCTGGCCTCATTATCTCTGACAGACTTGTAGTTGCTTTGAAATACTGAATTCCCTTGGACAAGATCTTCCCACTGCTGCCAAGGAGCAGAAACACCTACAAACACTTGTGATCTGGCTTCAGAAGCACTGCCTATAAGGCCAGAGACCCTATGTAATCTGGTACAACCATCAGAGCTCTCCCAAAAATACATTGACTAGCATTCTCTACCTGAGGAAAACACTGTTCATAGGTGGTCAGCCTTGACTGGGTACAAGGAAAACTGACAAGGTCATAGACTGGTATAACTTTTTAGTTTTATTAAAAAGTGGCAGTTGCAGTCTTCCTTTGGTAAGTCAGGCAAGTTTCTGTAGGTTGAATGTGTAGGGTTTTTTCCTTTTTCTGTGCCCTAGGGTATTTTTGGATTAGTGAGCTCTGAAAGCAAAAATAAACAGAGACAAGCAGCAATTATCAAGAAAGCAGGCTGAGCAAACAGTCTATCTTTTTACCATGACTCTTTCTTCCCCAGAATGACAGACCAGGCTTCAGTGATCCTGTCAGCTGGCATGAGGGACAGGAAATGCCTGCCAGAGGCTGATTTCTGCTGGCCTTTCTGCTGGCCATCTTAAATGCAGTGTCTGTCAGCCTGCTGCTCCTGCAAGGCCATATTTCTTTTGGGATAAGCAATGCAAAGTAACAGAGCTTCATGCTCATTAGCTCAGCTACAGGTATAATTACGCAGAACTAAGGAGAAGCTTTTTAGACCAAAGAGATCTGAATAAAATTCTCATGGAAAAGGTAAATTTTTAGATCTGTGAACAGTGGTTCAAATGTTTTGAAGCTTATTTGCCCTTGGAAACATCAGTCTGCACCAGGAACAGTCTACACTCAGAACCTGACATTAACTTGACTTTCAACTCCTGCTTAAACTTTAAGACTTCGAAGTTTGTTTGACTCAGAGTAAGACAAAAATACATGGATTGATCAGGTAAAGTGACCCTACCAAATAGTAACATTTTTTTCAGCTACAGCAAGCACAAGGTTTGTTTTCTATTACTAAGGCACAGAATCAGTAACTGAGTATGTTACTGGAGGTTAAAAAAGAAAAACCTAATCAAAAGCTCTTCATTCAGTAGTTCAAGTAACCAGCCCATGGATCTCTCACCTTCTCCCACAAGATTCTTAATTCAAATACAGGTCAAATCAGCAGTACCTGACAACCCAGCAACTGCTTTGGGCACCTAAATACAGAGAAACAATAGTCCTAGTGCAGATTCTTGTGGAGAAATTTTGCAAAGGTTAAAAGCAGGTGATAAAGAGTTTGAACTGATTCATGTTATGAACACTATGGGAAGGGACATTTCCCCATACTGCTGCCACTGAGTTGTACATGCTTTCCAAATGGTGATTCCATAGCTGCCTGCCTTCTTCCCTTTCTTAATGGGGACAGATTATAAAGGAGTGTATTGGGTTTCTAAGTGAATTGATTCCTTTCCTTAAATCTATGGCATTACTTGTATAGGTGAACAAGTGCTGGAAATATCTGGTAAAGAAGAAAGTGTGAAGTTTGTCTGGGGAAGACTCTGAAATACATGAAAAACCTGAAACATAACACAGGCTGAATGGAAGGTGACTAGCTGAGCTGCTCACAGTCAGTGACACAACTCTGTCCTTTGTCAATGGTGAAATTCTCACCATCAGCTCTGGCAGCAGGGAAAGGTATGAATTACAACCTTCTCAAGGTAGACTGATTACTCTAAGCAGCACACACTAATACAGCATGTTCTGTGTTACAATTTAGTAAAATATTACCATAACACAAGTAAAAAAATGTTAGTTTGTTAGTGCCCACTATAGAATTGAGACTTCCAACACATCCTCACCCCCAGGCCCACAAGCCTTAGGACACCCCTCTGGATGATACTGCTTTCTCTCAGTGAAATACTAAAATTGCTGCTTTGTTTTGAGTAAATATTTTCAGTTGTCTGTCTTCATACTGGCAGATCATCTTCATTTCCCAGTCCTAGAAACAGCCTGGATTGCTTTGATCCATTCTGTACGCTCTGTGGACGAGGCTGCTTGCAAGTAATAGTGGATGTCATTTGCTGTGATGATTTCAAAGAGAATGTTGTCAACATCACACTTCTTGGCTACAGGGAAGAAATAAGAAAGTCAGCTATGAGAGAATAAATTCTTGTACTTAAAATGTTTCCTCCTCTACACTCTCAGAGGATTTCCTTCCTCTCTACAGCTGAGCCTGATCAGGCCTTCACAAAGATTCAGTCCAAGATTGCAAGACTGGTTCCAGGAGATAGGTCTCTCTTGGAGAAACCACCCATGAATTCTGCACATTTCACATTCAGGAGTCTCTGGTTAGTTGGTAGGATGGAAGGGTCTGCAATCCTGCAGATAGGTCATATTCCCCAAACCCTCCCATGCCTTGCCAGCTACAAGATATATAAAAACAAGGTATTTGAGTTCATGTCACATCCAGAATCTCCATTTCTTTTCTGAGATGTCAACAAATTTTCTTGCTGGATGTGATAGTCTGCCTCCCCCACGGAGAGGAGAATGCATGGAATGAGTTTTTCTTGATCTTTGTAGCAACACCTAACCATTGCTGTTCCCACAACTTCTAGTTTTGTGAAGGAACAGAATGTGGACAGTAATAATTTGTCAGCATTACTATTTCTAACATAAATCTTCCATCCCAAATTCATTATAGGAAGAGAACAAACTCAGCTTACTTTGTCTAAAGGCCAGTTACCCAAACACAGGGAAGGTGTCATCCTTTTGATGAGTCTTCCCTAAAGAAGTGACAAAACACAAGATTCCCTATTGCTACCTTTACCCCAGTAATTCAGACAGCAGGAAAGACACGAATTACTAGAATTACTGAATCATTGTACATAGACTGCTTTTGAATAAAAAACCCTCATAAATTCAGGCAGATTGAAAGAATGTACCAAAAACATATTACACGGCTCATTTGATATGGTTCCTTACAGTCTGGCATATCTTCCACTGCTGTCACCACACAGCCTCTCAAGTGAATTGCTCCCAGTGGTTCTTCTCCCTAGGAAGGACATGAAATAAAAATTAAATGCAACAGTTTCAAAACTGTTGACATGTTAATATCTGGCTACAGTTTCAGGATGCAAACAAAAACATTTGCTGTCTAAGTATGTCACCTGGGAAACCAGAGGATCTTCAGTCTGTGTGTGACATGGAGGGTGAGGGGTGTGGTAGGGGGAAGGCTTGTAAATAAATAGGGAATCTCTTTTGGGGTTTAGAATTCAGGATCTGCAGAGTAATTAGCATGGGAACGGGGAGGTCAGACACTCCTCAGTGGTGATTCTTCAGTGTGTCTAGGATGCCTCTGCCAAGGGGGCTGGCACAGCATAAAGCATCTGAACCCCATAACAGTACTGCTGCTGCAGCAGTGCAGGATGAGATAAAACCTGTGGACTGAATCAATCCAAATGCCAGATTTTGAGGAGTAGTTTTTGCCCATGGCAATGCTCCTTCCTTTTTTAGGGCAGGGTTTGGCCTGTTAGGATTACGTAAGAAATGGAATGCCATGTCTCAGCCTGACAGAGCAAGTATCTCAAATATAAACTGCAAAATTACTGTATTGTGTTGATTTGCACTTATGACCTAGTTTGTTTTGACCAAGTGAGAGCACGTGTTTATTCTAATTATTCATAGATAAGAGGCAAGAGCACAGTTCAGTGTTACTTGTTCCCAGGTCTGGGTGGCACTTGCCACCCTGACTTGGCAGCCTCAGAAATCATCCTTCACTCTGCTTTGCTGCTGGATAGCTGGACTGCGTGAGGACAAACAACCCCACTGTCCTGCCTGGCCTTCCCTGTCACACCTTCCCACACAAATACTCAATTCAGACATTCCTACAAGGTGCTGGCTTTAAAACAAACAGAAAAATAAAAAATGTCTCTTACTCCAGCAGGATCATAGTAGTGAAGATATGCAGGATCATCTCTTAAAACAAACTTTCTCACTTTCCAGTTCTTCCTCCGATGTCCCTAGGAAAATTTAAAACCAGGAATGTCATGAACTGCTTTGCCTGCAAGTGCTCACAGTCAGCTAACCCACACAGGAAAGAACAGTCAAATACAAAGGGGAAAAAGCTGAATATTTTGGACAGAAAATATTCAGTGCAGTAAGACTTGAACCTGCCTTTTCTCCATACCTATGTTTTGTACAACAGCTAGACTATCACACTGGTTTCTCTTTTTATTTTTATTCTACAAAGCAGGAGAGCTTGAATACAGGACATTCCCCTAAACACATAGCCTGGTAGCTATGACATTCACACAAGGTCTGTCAGAACTGGGTTTAAGTGCTTGCCAGAAAACATCACTGCAAAGCGCCTTGAAGGAAGGTTCCTTGAACTATTGGCATGAAGGAGCTGAAAGTTCTTCTCTCCCTGCAGAGATAACAATAAAAAAAGGCTTATCTGTCTTAAGCACCCTGGAGGGCTGAGAAGCTCAAGCAGAAATAACACCACCCTCAGGCATGGCACCCATAGGTGCCTCATTGCCTGTTTTCAAGATGAAAAGGTGGGTGAGGAAAGTCTAGATCTGCTGAAAGCATCTCAGCGGAAGCTGTGACTCTTCCACGAACTGACCCACAACTCACTGAAGGTGACCAAGTGCAGACTATCACTCATGGAAGGTTGTCATGATTCACTTCCTCTCAGCATTTCAAAATACTAGTTTCTCAACTGGCCACACTGTTTGAAAGGAAATTCTTACTAGCTAGGCAGACGTAAAGGTGACAAGGTTAAAGAGCAGCAGGACTTGGATCTAATTTCTTCCATTGCTTTTGGGTAATCTGATTGAGCAACAGAAATATATGTAAGCATCGCCAAAAAGGTCTTAGGTTCTCAAGGACTATTTTAACAGTGAAGTTTCAGACTCTATATTAGGAAGTATTTCTTTAGAGAGAGGGTGATCAAGCACTGCAACAGGTTTCCTAGAGAGGTGGTCAATACCCCATGTCCGACAACATGTAAGAAGCATTTGCACAATGCCTCTAACAATGTGCTTTAACCTTTGGTCAGCCCTGAAGTAGTCAGGCAGCTGGACTAGATGATTGTTATAGGTCCCTTCTACCTGAGCTATTCTATTCATTGTAGAATCCTGATTTGCCTTCAGTTCACTAATATCTGCTTGCAACGGCCTTGGAAAGTAAGGCATTTACCATGACATTCACTGTACTGCTTACAGGTTTGCTGGAAAGGAAGGTACACTGTCATCTTCTGTCTTATAGATTAAATATTGGTGACTGAAAGGACTCCTTTGCTCAGGTATTTTTGCATTGTACCAATGACTTGTCACACCTCCTGCTAGCACTCTTTCTTAATTAAAGCTATAACCCATCTTATTTTGTGGTAAGAGCAATAAACCTTGCAACTTTGGGCAAGAGCCCTGCTGCCATGCTACAGCAAGTGTTCTTTGTGCAAAGGCAAGAGGGAGAGAGATGAAACCTGTCAAGTAGGGAGGTGGCACAGGCTAGTTCTCTCTTCTCTAAAGCTTTTAGGTGTGAAACAATAATTTTGTACCCATGTAACATTATCCCAGTGACAGGATGGAACATGTGCTGTACTCACCTGTTTCAGCAAACATCCTTGTTTCACTATTGTGCCTCTGAATTCTTCTTTCATAACCACATCATCATCACTGGAATATCCCTCGCAGAAAAACCCACTGTCTGGCTGCAGGAGAAAAGTCAGAAGTTACACTGTGGCTGCATGTTTATGTACACTTACAAATCTAGCTTCTCTTTGGCTTCCCACCATCCTGTTTTTTGCCACTCTCCAAAAAATCAAACCTTTTACTGTAAAAATCTCCCAGTGAAGTTGAGGGACTCTCCAAGTCACCATGGAAGCATTTTGGTGTGAGGTGGGACTACACTTCTCTGATATAAGTCAGACATTGACTTTCTGTGGCCTCCTCACATCACATTAGTATTGACTCAAACTAGAAACAAGCTGAAAGCCAGCAGAGCACCCATGGGCTGCCAGGAGAAGCATCCCAGGTAGCTACAAACTGTGATGACCACAAGGCTGCCTTCACCAGCAGTGTCTCTGCTTCCCTTGCTGCACAGGTAAAGTTGCCCTAACACAGACACGTTCTAGGAAAACAAATGGAATAATGGGAGAGTTATTTTACTGAAGTCAAGTGGTAAATATAAAAAGATTTGTAATATCAATTTACTTGTTTTTAATTCACAGAAGGCATATATTTTGTTGGCATAAGTCCGTAAAACAGTATTTGGCTGTGAATTGATATTGTAAGTTCTTCAAATCAACCTGCAGAATATGAAGCAGTAAATGGAAAAGGCTGGGTGTGATATCCAGGCTTGGTGATACTGGAGAGTATTAAAAATTTTTACTTCTCACAGGCAAACTCTGTGTGTGTGTACACTCACACAGAGTCAGATTTGATGGCTCTGCACAAAAACAGGTTTGTAGCTTGTGCCAGCCAGTCTGTGAAGCCTGATGATGATGAACTACTCTCTTCCCTCCCACTGAATCATGAGGAAAACCAATGTCTAAATCCTGGTCACTGGTGCAATTACCAGGAGCGAAGTCTAAGTTAAAAAAGGAGTCAGTTTGGTCTCAACACTCAATTCACACTTAGGATTGTGCCGGGGGGGGGAAAAATGTCCTGGTTACAAATGTTAAAGTGAGCCAGTTCATTCTGAGTATCAGAAGAGAAAGACAACTAACATGGATCTCTCCATTTCTGTACAATCAATATTTACTGCAGGATTTAAGAAGCCCAATGGGATCCCGAGAAAATCAGAGCATCAGTAAGTCTAGACAATAAAAAAAACATAATACAATGCTCACAAAGTAATAATAGGCATCGCTGAGATCTAAGAAGGGGGTGTCTGACAATCCCTCAGCAGCAGCCTTGGATGCATCCCCAGCAGGCTGTAGGTAGCCTTCACTCAAGAGGGAAGAGGCAAGCATGAGACCTTCTCTGCGATTCCGGATGGAGTTGCTAGACACCAGCCAGTCAATCACACAAGTGCCTGGTTACAAAGCAACAAAATATCAGCCACAAACCAAGATAGACATGAAGAAGCCTAAAACTAAACAGGCAACAATCCTGCTACATCTATTCATCAGTCTCCTGAAAAATGTTCTGTGTGACAACACAGGGAGCTAATCTGGAAAGGCTCCTGAGTCATCCAGCGGGGTACAGCCATTCCAGTTGATGGCAGGGGCCAGTACAGCCCTTGAACACTGTGCCTGAGAGAGAAGAGATCAGGGAGGAGATGCAGGGCTCAGCTGGGAAGCCTCATGGGCAGGAACTGGGGCAATATGAAGGACAGCCAAGCCTGGGAAAGGCAGTCTTCCAGGCTGCTATGTTACTGACACAGAGTGACTTTCATAGAATCACAGAATTGTTGAGGTTAGAAAAGACCTCCAAGATCATCAGTCCAACCGTTAACACCGCTGTGTCCACCACTAAACCATGTCCTCAAGTACTACATCCACATGTTTGTTGAGGACCAACAGATTTGACTTGGAGCAGAACAGGAATTACAATGTGACACAGTTTGGTGATGAAAAGTTCAGAATGGAATAATTTTTCTGGAGTTGTGTTTCACACAACTTAATCTACTCAAAATATTTACTTCAATCTTTCTGACACTGGTTAAATTTCTTCCTTCTATCTCACTGTGACCATAACTGATCACTTTTACAAGATCCATCCCTTGAGCACCTCCTGGTTCTCTATGGTCTACAGAGCTTGGGGCTGTTTTATCTATTGCTTCTCAACCCTGTGCTCCCTTTATTGTATGGAATAGAGGGACAAGAGCTCCTTACCTGTAAAGCAGTGATTGAACACCTTTTTATCCTTTTCCAGCTTCAGTTCCTTTATTCCCTTTTCAGGATCTTTCATTGAGAGGTACAAAGCACTGTGCATAAAAAGAATGTCATTGTCATTCATTGGGTCTTCATGTTTTGTTGGCACATGCCTCTCCACAGAGCTGTAGCATGGCTTAGTTTAACCTCCTGAAAAGTTTCAAGTTACAAAGCCTGGATGTCTCACTACATCACTGTCACAGCTGTGGGAACAGAGGGTGTAGCTCACGAATGGTTCACCACACACCCCTATTTTGAGAATGCAACAACGTGTGGTGACTGTAGTGTGAACAGAGGAACACTCACTGCTGAGGCACCTTCCCAGGGCCCCACAGCCTCAGTGCAAGTAGGAGAGCTCACTGCTGTGCTATGTGTTCCCCAAAGGTCCTGGGCCGAGCAGAAAACCTGTCAGTGTGACCTCCTCAAAGCCTGCATGCTCTCGGAGACACTAAGTAACCTCAGTGAACCCTGGTGTAACTTACTTCCTCCTGCCTAGTTTGCACTAACCTAATTCCTTGGACCTTGCTGGGAGGAAAGAAGCTACACTAGTGCTCAGAAATCTCCTTATCAGCAAAATCCTTTGATAAATAAGCATGTTTTGATAAATTATGATGTGTTTAAAATGAGCTTCACAGTTCTGATTGCTAGCTCATTTCTGCCGCATTGTACAATTGAAACTTTTAGTCATGCATAAAGGTCTGTGAGAGAAACCAGAGAGGTGGCATGGACAGAGACACTCATAGATCTTCCAGACCACGGTTACATATCTGACACACTGCCTGCAGATGGAAGTAAATGGGGGAGCAGAGCTGTGAGAACAAACCTCAGGTTGATTGTTTCAGGCAGTCTGATAGACTTTCTTGTGGATTTTCTGGCAAACCTCTGGCCTCCATCTATGCAACGAATTGCTTTCTTGATATCCTGCACCCAGGCATCTCTCTCCTCCAGGTAGGCAGCTTGAAAAAAATGGTCCTGCTGCTTGGCTGCAGTGAGCTTGAAGACAAACTGGAATGATAAATTATGGGTTTTTTAAAAGTTAGTTTGGTGTAGCCAGTTGGGCATGATTAATCTAGTACCACCACAACATACAGCCTACCTGTGCCAAATGGACTATGGAAAATGCCTTAGAACAACAGTTAAATTCAAAAAACCCTGAACAAAAACATGACCAAGCAGTGCAGGTAACTGACATCTTTTCTTACTGCCCTGTAAGTGATCCTGACATTGTCAGAACAGCCAAGGTGAGTGGCACTGATATAGCTGCTGATTCTAACCTTTTCTTGGAAGTTCAACACAGCTGGAATGCTGAAGCACACAGCCCATGCAGGCTTACAGTGGGTGTACGTTTGTCTTAAAGACACATGAACAGTCTGAAGGAGAAAAAATACCCCACATCATGCTGCTCAGCTACTGACTCATAAGGGGAGAAAAGGTCACAGTCACACTGGAGAGTAGTTGAGCACATTTGCAGCCTAACAGAACTTTAAGGGCTTAGTAGGGAGATGATACAACCAACCCTTATGTCTTAGGAACACTACCTGTCTAAACACACTAGCAACAATGAAAAGACTGTATTTTCCAAAAATGAGAAAAGATCCCTTCTCCCCATACCTCAGATACAGAGTAAGAAGTGCTGTGCTGAGGCTTGTTAATTAGATAATGTAGGAACGTGGTTTCAACTCAGCAGAATTAGAACCAAATGGGTGCAGATACACTCCATTTCTGTCCCTTTATTTGGTTACTTAATGTTCCTGCCCCGTGCTTTAGTCCCTAGAGGTAACTATGCCTCACCTTATTACTCACAGCACAGGATTAACAGCAATCTTTATTCTCTGCCCCATCCTTTTCTTGTGCTGCCTCAAAGATGGCCTGTAGGTTAAGAGCCCCTTTTTCTTAACAGATGTAAGTCTAAATAGACTTTGTAAGAATCAAGGTGGGGTTTTATTCATATGAGTTCTGCACAAAAAAAAAAAAAGAAGTAGAAGAAAGAAAATAAGGCAAAAGAAAACCTAGCAGGTCCAAACATGACACAAGGGACCTTGACTCCATTTACCACAAAACCTAAGGACAGGTCTTACTCATATGAGAAAGTGAAGTTTGCTGTCTTGTGCAGTCTTTCACACTTTTTTTCTATTTTTCTAATGCTCTCAGAGGTTCCTGTCTTTAGTCAGGCATCTCTGTGGTAAAATTTGTTTAAACTGTAGTTGGATAATCTTCCAGATTCTGGAACAGTGTCAGAGGAATTCCTGGAGGTTTAATGCCTATTTGATGAAACCAAGTTGACAAATAACAAATGACTGACTAAAGATATGATTCTTTGCTCATACTAGAAATTCTGTTTGACTGACAACTGTTTTTCAGGAAACCTGTAACAAAATATGATTGTCACAGCATTTATCTCCTTCCTATCTAAGTTGTTGCTCTTTGACAATAAATAGATGCTTCCACTGCTCATGGGATAGTTTCCCACATCTTTATTCTGTGGCAGCTAGATTTATCTTTAATACAGGAGTTGTTGCCATTCAGCTGCAAAGTGTCCTCTCACCAATAAAATTTAGCTCTGCTCTCTAACAGACTCAGAGATTTTTAAAAAATATGCAAAATTAAAAAATACAAACCCCAACACTTTCTGAATTAGTCCTCTTGAAGCATCCTGAATTCAAATATTGTACAAGTCCAAGCCTGCTTGTGATCTTCTAAGACAAGTGAGAGTCACTACTTGGATGAGTGCAAGGAATTTGTAACCATCAGCCTTCTGCCCCTTTAGTGCCTCCAGAAGTAAAAGTATACTGCCAAACATTGTTATGAAAAATGTACTTACCATTCTTTTGCCAAAATCTTGGCATGGACTGTTAATAGAGCTTCCTTTTAGTGGGATCATCCCTTTGGGACTGTTGTCAGCCTTCCGCTTGTAGAATTCAATTCCATCTTCTAAGAGCACAACCCACATTGGCTTCCAGGTATTAAACATGCTGCCCTGCATCAATAAATCACTGTGCATGTTATGTTCAATGAATCACCCTTCACATGATATGTAATGATGATATGACCTTCCAGGGAGTGTCTGACTGATGCTAAAATAACTGCAATTAGTGTCTCAAGGGGAAGACACCACAACCACACCCATCTTACTCTGCAGTTAAACGTTGTTCTTATTCTTCTGACCACCACTAATTTCCCTTGTAGTCACCCTAGACACGAGTTTTTCCAAATTTGCATGACCTGCCACATCAGGCTTCTCATCAGTACCAATTAGTCTCAACCACTGTCTTCAAGGTGACATAGTGGCAATATTAAGAATAATCTCTAAATTTCTGAATTTGAACTGGGACTTTAGGACTGACACATTAACACAGGCATGCTGTGCTATACTTAGGACTTGATGCTACAATACAGTCAGTCATGAAGGCTTGGCTGTCTGATAAGAAAACACACATCTCAGAGGACTTCTAACCATATAAGAACAAACTAAGAGTAATGAATAGTTTAAGGGCCTGAGGCTGCAGACCTCCAGCTGCTGTGGTGAGGAATCAAAGGGCTTCATTTCATCTTTTAAAGCTTTTACTTCCTATTCCTGAAATGCAGCTGTTAGATCCAATGAATGCAGAGATAAAGACAGGGCCAGACCCTGTATATAGTGAAATACAGAGCAAAATTCTTAGGGACAATGAGAAGAACAACCTGTTTCTGTGTTGAGCACAATTAACTGCTAGAATTACCAAGCCTGTTCTACTCCAGCTATACAGCCTCTCTGGTCCTGCCTGCAACCCCAGATACCCAAATGACATAGTGCTCAGCCAAATGAACATTTAGATATGCTGAATACCAAGAGCTCTCCTGAAGAGTTACCAAAGCACAACCAGCATTAGTGGGCCCCAAATCAGAGGCCATTCATCAAAACTATTAGCTTCCCTTGCTCTTTCTGTTACAGAGAGAGACCCAAATTTATCCTCCTCCTGCCACAACTCCACAGCATCCCTGTCCTCCTCAGACCATGATGTCTGAGCAGTGCCAAAGCTGCAGGTAGAAGTGAGGCAGCTACTGCTGTGCTGTGCCAATGGCTTGTTGTTGTTTGTTAAACCTGAGAGCTGAGCAGAGTTACTTACATTTGCATTTTGTATTTCTGCAGAAGTGAATAGGGCAGAAACATCCTTAGTCATCTTTATTTATTCTCCAAACGAACCCTTTGTCTGTCACATCCTTTTTTATGCTGACCCACCTTCCAATTACAGGCTGGAGAGAGAAAATCACCAGCTGAGATCTTACTAAGAGCAGGACCTGGACCTTCTTCCAGCCTCTACAGCCCTCACTGGCAGCAGAAGGTGCCCCACAAATGAATGGTCCCTTCCAAAGGAAAGTCACTGTTCTGGGGGTTCTCTGGAAACTCAGCTAAAGGAGGAAACTACAAAAAGGAGCCTCATCTGGGCACCACGTATGTGTTGACTGTTGTTTTCTTTTGATTCTTTTACTTTTTTTTTTAATAAGCCATAAAAGTTAACTTTTTTTTTGAGAGTCCAAACTGACCCCCACTGGTTGGTTTTCTGCTACAAAGTCAATTAGAATGATGAGATATGATAAGAACTGGTGCAAATTCCTTTTGCTTGTGAGTTTATCACACCTTACAATATCTCTGCTCACAAACAGACAAGTTCAGTACTTCCTGAAGTCTGGACTCTGACATGTTTTACCAATGGAAGCCACTGCAAACCAGTGTTAGACTCAGATCCACACCATCAGCAAACCCAAACATGGTCACATTGTTCTCACTTAAAACATATCATGAAAGACAAGCAAGCAGGATCTAGATTTGATTTTCCTGGACTAAAAATCAAACTGCCCCACCCACTCAAAAGATACAGATACCAGATACAGACCATTCCTTGAATTGCTCTCTACATCATTAACGACTTAAAAAAACCATGCAACTTCCCTATCATAGAAAACGTTCTTTTTACAGCATCTGCAGCACTGCAAGATTAGAAAATTATCTGTTCCTTATGCTCAGATCACACAAGGGCCCCCAAACATACAGAGGTTTAAGCAGACCTTCAGACATTGAAGTCTGAACCCACATTTACTGGAGATGACTGTCCCAGCTAAAGCACTGACCCCCACGCACAACACTGTTCCCCAGACTAATTTAAATATCAAGAGGAGAAAATCAGTGACAAATGGCCTTCACTCTGCAAAAAAGAGCTGTGACTGCATGGGTGACTCCTTTGGGAGGTCAAATCCTTGTTTTCACTTGACAGCCATAAAGGAGAGCAGAAGAATATATAATTAGCTAGAAAGGTTAATCAGGAGCATGCTCATCCTTGCTGGAAGCTCTGGTTGTGGAATTTGCATCAGCCCCAGTGAAGTATCAAACAGCTGGTACCCATCTGATCTGTATTCTCAGCTCCTTTTGCCCTCCAGCCCTCCTCTGGCACAATGCTGCTGCTCCTCACCACCAGCATAAGCTCACTGGAGTCACCTCTGAGGCTGCTCTAGGTAATTCCCTGTTCCCATTGCACAAGCATCCAGCAGCAACTTTAGTAGTATCTGCATAGAGACACTTTTTGGGAACCCAGCACCCACAGGAATGTGAGAGACTGACACTGGCACATCTGTATGCATCTTTTCCATGGCATACCCAACTAGGCACACAGTTTGGGATTATCCAGTGTGTAAGTTTCCAGCCATTCCCCTGTCATGGATAAATATAGTTTGTGGGCCAATTGCTCCATATATCAGGCTGTTGGAATGAGAGATCTGTCAAGCCTGTTCTATGCAGACTACACTCTCCTTCCTCATGACACCATCACTGCAGCTTTGTCATTCCTTTATGAACTTCCTTTCAGTGTCAGTGGACTGAGGAGTGGTCTAGTCCATCCAGCTGTTTGAATGACTTAAATTCTTGTTTTCATGAGCAGAGACAGCACAGGAGAGAGCTTCTCTTTTGCCCCAGGACCTACACTGCTTAGTTAGGCTGCTTTAAGTCAGACTGATCTCACTAGGGATTTAAATGAAAGTTAAGACTCCAGAGCAAAGGTTGCTGTGGGGCAGTGACTGCCTTCCCAAAGAAGGGAAGTGCCCATGGCCCCACACACTGCCTCTAAGACAAGGTTATCTAACCTCTTTATTCTCACTATGCTTCCTTGATGTTTAACTCAGCAATTAAGTACAATTGAGTAAGCTGTGGCCATTTCTAGCCATTACCTGTTTTGCCAAGATTTCACAGCGTGTGTCACTACACCTCCCCAGCCTGTTCAGAGTTAGTTTTCTCTTCCACTCAGTCCAAAACTGCCCACTTACCTTCTTAACCAAGTAGCCCTCCCTTATGCGTGTCGGTTCCCGCTCCATGACTTGAGTGATCCTGGTCTCAGTCCTATCAGCACTGGCAGCTAAGTTCCTCTGGCAGAGAAGTCTGTGGGCTGGTGCTTTTACAGTACAGCTGTGTCATTTCACAAGTTCTCTGCCTGCTAATCACAAGTCCATTTCCTCTTACAGAGTGAGAGAGAGGGAAATGCAGAAGCACATGGGTATTTATAGTCTGCCTCTGACAGAACAGGCAACAGCCTGACAAAACCCTCAGCCATATCAAACGCAGCCAGCCTTGATGACAGAATCCTGGGAAATTAAATAAGCACTTTAGGGCCCAGTCCCAAAAAATTGGGCCCACTCAGCAAATACATGAACTCTTGCAAAACAACAAACAGGATACTGCACTGCTGCTTGGTCCATGCCACAGGGATGTCAGAGACAGGTTTGCAACTCACCAGTTCTTTCACTTCATCCTGTCTTCAAAATCTGACTCCCAGTGGGTGAGCACGTGGGGTCTGGCAGCAAGTCGGATGGTCCTTGCTTTGTTAATGAGGATGCATCCTCTGCTGATACAAGAAAATTTTTTTTCAGATTTGATCAGCTTTTGGAGTTCGATGCTGAGGCTTCCCAAAGAGGTCAGCTGTGAAATAGGCATAAATGGATTAGACCAGTGCATTACATAAAATACTGACTGCAGAATGCCACTTTCTACAAGCATCTTTTTCTTGCTGAAGAGCTCATTTGGCTCTATTTGGTGAAAGACAAGGCAAACCCATAATTTTTGGTATATATCAGAGTCACAATCCCTCTTCCCCATACAGAAGGAGAAGTGGGGGTATATGGGAGGCAATAAGGAGGCTGCTTCATTGCCAAGAGCAAAGTGTTCTCCCAAGCACAAGATTCCAAATCATTTTTGCATTTAAGCCCATTCATAAAAGGGTTCAGCCCAGGGTGACTCCATTTGTCACCTGTGCCACTTGTAAAGATCTCTAAACAGGGACATTTTTCACAGACAGAAATTCCTGCTCTCTGTTTGACTCTCTGTTTGCCTCAGTGTTTACTCAGAAGTACACACAAGTCTGGCAAGGTCTGTGATAGAGGAGCAGAGGGTTAGAAGAGCCCTCAGAGACTTTTTCTAGCCATTCCTCACTGATGCCTGTTTAGTGGTTCTACTACAGCTAAGACTTGACTCCTTCCTTGGTTATCTGTATTACTGCTTCACTGTCCCAACTGCTGTTTGTTTCTCCTCACTGTCCAAATTGAGATTTTCCTTTCTAGACCTCTCTCAACTAGCTGCTGCTCAAATGTTCTGTCCAGTCTGTTCTGCAGGCAGAGCACCTATCTGCACCACCTATCTCAGGTTAGACACTTTGTAGTGCATTCTGTCCAATGCATATATTTTTTTGATGATTTCACATTGTTTGGGGCTTCTAAAACCTACAGTCTCAGTACATTGTTCTCTTGCTCATGTAAATCATGCTATTGTGAGAATCTGATTGATATTAAAGGCCCTACTTGCTGACCAAGCCAGTCATCTGCAGTATGCAAATCAAAGACTTTCCAATTCTCTGGCTGTCAAGTGCACTTGAAGTCAACAAACAGATTTTAAAATTATTAGAGACAGAAACTCACACTGAGCTAATAAAAAATTCATGCTCTTTAGAGCTAAAAGTAAAAATTTACCACTAAAAAGTGATCAAAATGCTTGTGTCACATTTACAGTAGAGAATTCGCCTACCAGATTTAGGACCTGCAATGAACTTCAGATGCATTCCCAGAGCAGAGATGATCTAACTGAATTTCCCATAAGCCTTAAAATTATGCTTGATAGACTGGAGAGCTTGTAGACTTCTCCTGTATAATATCTTTTTTGGGCACTAATTCCTTTTACTTTAAGAAGGTGTATTATTTCCTTCTCTTCCCTTTCATTCCGATGGTTCCATCTTTGGGAAAAGGTACTTTCCCCCCCCCCCCCGCGAAAGAAACCCAAAAAAACTGGGCACACGCAACA